CTCAAGGGGGTGCGTGGACATACAGGTCTGGCTCAGTTTTTTGCCCATCAGAATAAATAAATCACATGTTATACCACATGTAACTTTTTCGACTTTGAAATTTTTTTCCCAAAAATTCACTACATATAATTCTGTAGCTGCTCAGGCAATATTGTTGAAGCTATGTCTTAGTAACAGAAAGTGTGTTACATGCAGTTGAGTTGATGAGATCACACCAAAACATTGAGTCAGTGTATGTAGTCAATCTTTTGGAAGCTTTTTTCAATCTGAAAGAAGTTACAGCATGTATTACATATGAATAACTTGTCCTGATGAGCAGATAACTGAGCAGAACTGTATGTACATGATAACCACATATTCACTGAGCCTGCTACACATATGTAGTGTGGGTGTTATGGCTCAGGTGTGGAGTGATAGACCATTTTATGACAAATCATACTCCCAATCATTTTTCCCTGCCCACTTGGGGAACCCGAATAATGTCTGCAGTGGTATGGAGACAAATCATTTTCGCACATTCCTTCCAAATGGCAATGGATGCTCATGTGGGAATTTTTTCATTTAGATGAAAATCACCGATGATGAAACCTAGTTTGGAAGTTTGGATCACATCAAACTGTCGCGGCTGCGAACCAAGACAAGAGGTCTCCTGAAAGCGACGTGAATCGCCAGGTCGTGGCCACATTGGCTGTTGCCATGGTATGAAGTTTGAACACCTGATGACCTCGTCATCACTACAGTGCCCACTGCCAGGCCGCCGCGCGTTTCAGACCGCCCTGAAAGTTTTCGATGAGGCTGTTCTTGGCACCGTTTGAGTGGAAGGAAGGGCCCTTTCATTTCTGAAAGGGTTGATGAATTGAAACATATGCCATGTGATGTGTGAATGGCAAATCGTCGTGTGGAAACGCAGGAGTTGATTCGACGGATTTGACATGATTGGATTTCCTTCCAACTGTGTTTTTAATTATGTATTTGGATTCGATTTGGTCTAACCGATTCAATTTGGAAAAGAGCTAGATCGAACCAGTTCGAACTCGCAGGATCGAACGGACCCTTTCTTTGGTGACTCGTTTGGGTCCCTTTTGAAATCTCAACTGCCCTGGTTCATTTGTTTCAAATAACATCAATCCTTCGAATCCACACAAGTCAAATTGAACTCCTCGGCTCCAGTAATAAACTTTCATCTCCAACTCATTATTCGTAATCCTTCCCCTTTACACTCTGAAATTCACAACTATCGCATTCTAAAAAACCTCCTCCATTACTCTACATCTTAATCAACTAGAGCGTCCTAGGCCAATTTTTCGCTCAAATCCTTGTTTTAATTTGCAATCTTGCTTGACTTTTTGCTTTGAAACTTGAGCTCATCTCGACGCATAACCCTGAAGCTAAGGTCAAGTAAGATTTGCGGATTCAAAATAATGGATGAAGTGATTAATAAACCAAAGCATAAGTCTCCCAGTACGATTCGTTCTCGCAAAAATCGAACCAAACGGAAGAATGCTGAGAAAAAGATCGAAAATCGACCACCACCCAACCAACGTGCTGCGAAAAAAGCGGCACTTACCAAACTTTATGGACTTCCACCTGATTCGAAATTCTTGTTCTTCAAGAAAGGCGATAAATCGGCAAAGCCCTTTCGAATTCACTTCGGCACTGTCGTATGCCTTGATGAAGATACATGTGATCTACTAGCAGTTGTACGATTTGTTGAACCTACTCCGGAAGATTCAGTTTTATTTGAAAAGTACAATCACGCTATTCGAACTGTTTATCATCATGCCAGAGCACGAGGTTTGGTCAAGATCAATGGTGCTGCAAAGAAAGTCAGAGCAACTAGGAAAAAGTACGGCAAGATGTATGCTGCAGGTTTCAGGCCCGGCTTTGACCCCTTAGTTAAAGCAGGTTAGTCAGTAGCAATGTCCTTCAATGTCGGCTTGAAACTGACATTGCTTTGTTTCTAGCTGCGTACGCTTTTAACGCCACCACTAGCGGACAACTTTGGCGGATGCAAGATGATCTCACTCGTCAAGGCAATCTCCCTGCCATCGAGGATTTCTTTGCCGAGCGTTTTGCCAATCTATCGTCTTATGCTTTTGAATCCAACGCTGAAATCGCTTCTCGCACCGGGGCTCCTTCGTGGGCCGGACAATCCTTCTACGTCTCACCTAACGCTCAAGTTTTCGCTTCGAACATCGCTGTCACATTCGATGAGTTTGTCAACGCACCTCACAACGACAACGATGTCAGTCGTTATTCATTTGGTCTCTTCACACGTATCAACCGCAAAACCGGGAAGCTTTACTCGATAAAAAACGATGAGTTTCAGGGTGATAACGTAGGATCTTGCTTCTTTTTGGACGACTACAACATCATGGTCGATTACAATGCGTGCGATGGTGTGGTGGAGATGCTGTGGAATAGCCACATAGAATTCAGAAACTTACAATGCTCAACATGTTAGAGTTATTCCTTCAAGAGGAAAGGTGACTCGATTTGGCTGTGCTTGCCAGATCAACCAAACTTTGGTGGACAGAATCAATCAAGTCAATGATATGCGTGGTAACATGAATGATGAGGAGTGGAATGTCTTTCGTGGTACTCTTTTGACGGGCTATCCTGAGGAGGCACGCAAGAAAATGGCTAGGTTGGCTGCGAAACATGGGATTAACGACCTCAGTTTGTTATTTGTACCTTGAACGTTTATTTGTTGAAGAGCGTTTGTTTTCATATTTTTCCCCTTTTCACTTGTTTCACTCAAATGTCTTTCCAATTGTATGTTACGTCTCATTGATCAGATGAACTGAGACAAACTCTCACAAGAAATACTATCGTAATGGCTTGATCCAGCCCAATATCTTCACCTTGTGCCCTACTGCACGTCCCCTTGACGTGCCCTCTCTGAATGTATTATCGCATACCTCGAGTCAGTCTCAAATGACTTGTAGAGGGCTCACAAGTTTGGACTTGTGAGAATGGCAATCATACTTTCATAACCGTAGCTCTTCGTCGGAGAGCTTGAAGAAACTGTCTTAGATCAATTTGCAAAGATGCAAATTGATCTTGCGAAAAGCCTTAACAGAGTCACGCGAATCTATCCCAGACTCGCAAATGTCAACAAGCTTCTATTGATTACGCCCTTAAGACAAAGGAAGTAGAAGTAAATACTGAATCATGACCGCTTTGTTGATACAAATTCATATTGTAAAAACAAGCCATAACATGTTCGATTCACAAGGATCAAGACCAGACTCACAAAGTTCAACATGGCCCCATTGGATTACGCTCTGAAGACAAAACAAGTAGATAGAAATGCAACCACTTAATCTTGACCGCTTTGTTCACCACGGGAACATCCTGGGGTGGGAGGACAGTTGGGAGGACCCCCATACGCTTTTGCCCATTGGGCGAGCCATTTGCGTTCCTCCTCAGCGTACCATATTTTTCCGATGGTATCAAAAGAGCTTGGAGAATCTGGTCTGCGCCTTGCAGATCGCCTATAATCACAGGTCAGCTATTTATTGCTGTTCTGTGTCTGTGAAATGAAAAATGCGAACTCACGCTGATCTTTAAGCTGCTGATATGTCGGATGGAGTATAGTAATAAATGTCCTCCTCCGTGTTGAAAGCCTCCATTGTCCTTTCGTCTAACTGGGTATACTTACCAAGAAGGGGTTCATCAAAGAGTTGAATGTCCCCAAACACCTTTTGAAGTGTGGTGTCCCCGTCCTGAGTGTTGTTTTGGGGCGTTCCTAAATGAGTTGAAGGGGGCAAGCTGCTAACCCCTTCAGCATTGCCCAATTTCAAAAGTATAGGAACAGCGGAATCGCCTGTCATTTCCATGTCCTGTTCTTTGCCTATTAGTGCCATGCTCAGTCTGTTCGAACAATAAGTGATAATATTAGTATGATTGATTAATAAGATGTATGATTGTTTAATAAGATGACAACTTCAGAGGTTAACTCAACTTAGCTGATGTAAAAGCCGGTCAAAATTCAGAAGTAAAACCAACGTAAAATTGTGTCGAGTCTGTAACATTAGGAAACCGGTCATTAATAATGCGAGTACATAAAGAATTGCTTGATAAGCCAAAGATCAGGTGTTACGTGATTGTTTGTACGGTGATCAAGCAGGATTGATTAATAATATGGTTAAGTGAAACAAAGAATATTGTATGATCCTATAGATGTGGTATGTGCAAAAAGTATAATGAGGATGAAGTCACTCACGAAATTTTCTTTTTCATGCGATGAACAAGGACAGTGAGGAAGTGGCAAAGGCTGACTGGTGTGAAGGAATTCGTTTGCCGGTGGGATGTTTATGTTGGATACTTTGTTACTGGAATGTTGGATACAACTTACACGGAATCTATATATATAGATTCTCTTCTCTGCAACCCCAAAACAAACTCATGGATGTATACAAAATAAAATATGCTTGCTCTCCTTCGCAAAATTACCGAAATCATATTGCATAGAGTTTCGAAGATCCTCTATGCAATAGAGATCTCATGGAAAATATTCTTAACATGTGATCACGCATGAATTGTAATATATATTGGGTATATCAATTATTTAAAGATCAATGAAACATATAAGATCAAATATATATCAACCTTATATATATATATTTTGTAGCTTCCACCAAATATCAAACGTGTTAAGACACATGGTGATGCCGATGCTCTTCTGGATTCTAACACTTGGCTTGCACATTGAACATGTTCCTATAGACTCTGAGTATCAATATCAAAAATTGAAAAGCATTGCAAGTCATACCAAGTTGATTTATGCAGGGCAAACAAATAGTGTGTTAATGGGGTAAAACACCAACTTCATCCATCAAATTCATATACAAGTTGTAAATCTACAAAGTGATTACATTTTAATAATTATAAAGTTTGATAAAACTAATATATCGCATGCTAAGCACAAGGATGTAGCTATGTGATTTGCTTTGTCATAAGCAAATCACATAGACCATAGCAAATCACATAGATGCAGTTACATCGCAATATTATATTTATTCAGTGGGTTTGTTTCTCATAAGGAATTAATATTGGATTTTTCAATATTACTTATTAAAAACCTAAAGTACTGTCAACAGTAAAAGATCAAAGGTTAGCAGCTTTGTCATACCTATATATATAGAATCACTCACATACCCGCATTTATCTTCCTTACGTAAAATGTCAGCCTTCAGGCTCTCATTTGGTTTCTTACGTGGGTACATATTGAATGTATGGTACTCTGCTTATCATTGTATGCGTGTTTTGGAAGATATTTGATCAAGACCTGCATGATGGTCTTTTGAAAAAGATCCAACGTGAATACCATTGAGTGTTCACGTGCCCCCTGAGGAGATCACATCAGATTGTCACGGATGTGAAATATGGGTGACATACAGTCATCCATATTTGAAAAGTTCACATGTCACATGAAGGCATAATGCTTCAGAACTGAGGAATACGTGGCCAATTTTTGGAACATATTTGAATACTATTTATTACTCATAATTCATCATGCCGAAATTTGAAGGTGTCCATCAGACGTTTAATCCAAACAAGCCTTACTGGAAGACAGAGCCAAAGACCGACCTACAGAAGAAGCACTTCGAAAAGATGAACAAGGCTGTGAAATCTCGGAACCAGCGATCCAACATTAAAGGTGATGTCCAGGATGGTGTCGATCGGAATCAGGATTATGGACGAATGGTAGATCAGCAAGACAAAAATGAATATGAGATACCCCGACCCGATTTTGTAGATGAAATACATGAAGCTCATCTTGAAGAAGAAAGGTATGCACGTGAACTTCTTCTTGCCCAGGCAGCAGAAGAAATGTTCTGTGCATATCTTGCATGTGGTCTGAAGACGAGCAAATGGGGAAACCCCGCATTATGGGACTATGATCACAAGCCGGCATGTCAATGCCGTCCTAGCCAATGGTACGAAAGGGACGTGGATTTGGTTGACCTCTTAAGTATGTCCATGAAAACACTCACACTACACTACCTTTCCATGATAGTGATACCGCCACGGCTTCATTAACAATTGAAAAAGCGCGTCGCAAGGCTTGTATCCGGTTTTGTCCCTGTCACAAAAACAATCAAACTTGTCTTATTCTCATGGGTTACATCGGCGGTTCCCCAAAGTACCCCAGGACCGCCTTCTCCATCCGACTTCTACGTTTTTTCCATATCTTATGGAAGTTTTGCACCATTCGACTTGATCCTTTTGCTCGAGCTCTGGACGAATTCCTTGATGCCTTCTGTGCTCTTATCCTTACAAAGAACGAACAGGTATGTAAATTCCGTTAATCATGGTGATATATATTATAGCTGACTTTGAGTAGCCACGCCGATGGCACACCCCTTTGTCTTGGGCTGTGGATGCGTATAGGGAGATGCTATCCATGACTGAGTCCGTCATGGATAGATACCTTGACCTTACACCCCTCGATAAGGTTGCCAACAACTGTCCACGCTGTTTTGGGCCACCTCTACCGCTTGAGGGTCCCCCATTAGAACCAGATATAGTAGTTTGCATGGACGGCAACTTCCAGCATCGGCGTCACAAAGCCGCCGGAACGAAAGCTGCCAAGAAAGCTATGAAGATGCCACCTCTATTTCTTCCGGATGAACAAGTTAACGAGATGCGTGGTCAACTCGATGGACATGCTGATGATGATTTTGTAAGAGTTGTTCCATGATAATATTTTATTCAGGAGCCCTATTGATCCGGTCACATTATACCACAGCAAGCGTGTGCCGATCAACACACCGCAGCCAACGATACACGCGGGAAAGGGCATTGGGCAGGTTGTGATGAAACGGGGCTAATGGGCATGGTATGCCGACATGATCATTCCCTTAGGTTTGCTAATATTGTGCAAAGCGGTGAAAAGTGAGTGGATCATTATATGTTTTAAATATATATCAAGATGTAAATTAAAACAAATGTATTTCAGGCTGCACTACAGCTATTCATTAATCAAGTGGATGCTCGACTTGACTCGCAACCACGGTGCTACTCCTCGACGTGTAGGTTTCTTGTATGACATTGGGTGTACAATGCAAGTTGGGATTGAAAAGGTGAGCGAATATGCTTGATTGGTGACTCATATTTTTGTTAATCATTCTCATAAACCCTTTTGAAGCGTGGAACATTTCAACAGGATCAGTTAAATGGTCGAATCCGATTTGGGACCAGTGTGTTCCACGCATATGTGCATAGGTGGGGATGCCAGTTGCTGTGGAATCCTCGGCTCAATCCAGGCTGGGGCCTGTCTGATGGCGAAGGGTCCGAGAGGGTGTGGTCAGGCCTCAATCCTCTTGTCGCACCTCTAAGATATGCCACCCCACAACACCGGGTCAACGCAATTGATTTGCGGTCGTCACATGCTAATGCACAGCTTCGGCATGAATCCGGTATGTAATTTCATTTGTTCTTATTATCTACTTCTCATCGAAACAAAGTGTGCTGACAGTGCACAACTCGTGACAGTCAAACATCTTCGGCGGAAGAAGACAGAGGCCAGGCAGCGTCTTGAAGAGGCTGAAGTTACACTCAAGACGCTGATATCACCGGGTGATGGGTGCCCTGGCCGAGACGCTGCATATCTTGAGGGCCAGTGGATGGCCCAAAGAGCACGTCACCTGGATATCATCGAGGAATCGAAGAGTGAGAAAAGGGATAAGATAAGTTTATTACTGGAGTTGGAGGAAGGACTCCATGTTTCTCTGTAAGTGGATGCCTAGTTAGTTTACAAGGTACTTACCTTTCATACTTACACATCCCTTAAAATCGCAGGAAACGACTTGACAGCCTGCAAAACGCACGCCGCCGAGCAAGTACTCAGGCCGAGCGCAGAGAGCTAGTAGCGCTACCAGGGACAGTGGTTGACTTTGAAGAACGCATCGGAGCCGTGGCGAATGAACTTGGTGGTAATGAGTTTCGAGGGATGTTGGGTGTCACAGGTATGTCGAGCGGTCATTCGCGTACCTACATATGGATGATAAGTTGACGTGGTGATTATCAGCCACTCAAACCAATGCGATTCTAGCGATATCAATTGCACGAGGCAAGATGTACGAAGCTAGAGTTGGTGTGATTGAAGCCAGACTGCGTCAGCATCGCAACGAAGGTGTGTCATTTGATGATCCATTTTACCAAATGGCTAGATCATCTCTTACACTACAGGTACGAGACAGCAGCAGCAAACGACACGCCAATGTGGTGATAAACTAAGAAACTTACGAGATAAGTACAACACTTATAAGCGTCGGGTACAAAAATACCACACAGATTATCCTAGACGTCGGCGAGTGGAACTTCCGGACTTTGATACCATCGAGTCCATGGAACCTGATGATCCATTCTGGAACCGAGGTGAAGATGAAGTACTGCCGGGCGAAGAGGCAGAGTCCGAGCGAATCAGGCGTGGTATAACTGCCTTCTTGGCGCGAAGGGGAGCCCAGGAGGAGCTGCGGCGACTCGCGCGAGAGTCACGCCATATGATGGGTTGGGCAATTGAATATCACCAGCGCATCATGGGATTAAAGATTACAATGCAACAAGGTCCGCGGTATTTTCATTCCCATTTACATGGTTCCAGCAACTAATGTCAAAACCTTTCAGCTGAAGAAGTAGACGAGAAGGCTAGGTTGTCAGCTCTGTACAAGATCGTCGCCAAGAGGACCTGTAAATTGTGGAAGAACTGGCGGGATCTTAAACATCAGCTAGTCGATACTTGCCAGTATTTACCAGGCTGCAACCCACTCGACCTTGAACTTCAACAGGGGTGGAAGAAGGTTTGTGACTGGGTAAATGAAGAGTGGACAGAAATGACCACGGTTATTCAGGCGGAGGAGCCCGAAATGTATGAGGATGAGGAAGACTTGTTTTATGATCAGTGGTACGACATGAATGGTGAATGGCTATTGAGAGATTAGGTATAAGCAATTGATTCATGTTAATTTACCAGTTTGGGTTTCAATATCCATTATAAGATTGTAAATGATACATATTATATGTGTTATATCATTCATTGACATCATCCTTTAATGCTATTGTCTTCATTTTTAAATACATTGTTTGATATCTAACAAC